CTTTAAAAGCACAACTACAATGACGTGGGAAAATACCCGAACAAAGCTGAATACTATACCTGTAAGTACGCGCGAAAACTTAAGAAAACATATATAGAGAGAGATGTGTGTGTGTGTGTGTTGGCTGTCCAACTCTGGTGGATTTCAGGCAATATACAGTACTACAGGGGAAAACAGCTAAAACATAAAATCAGACACACCAGTCCAAAGTAAAATAATTTGATGAACCATAAAATGAACAAAACTAAACCACAAGAATCAAGCCTGGCCTGGGACGACACTTTCCAGAACTCTAGGAAAGTTCAGTTGTCATGGGAGAGGGAGGGGGAGATATGTTGTTCCAGAAGGTGGGAGCCACAACAGAAAAGAACCGCTTCCTAGATCCCACAAGATGACAACGTTTAATGCAGAGAACTTGAGAGTGAGCCCATTCTTGTTATTGGAAATAGGCTGTCTCCCAGATATCCAAAGCCTACTAAGCTTTATAGGTAATAACTATATAAAACATTATCAAGAATGGACTGAACAAAAGTAGAACATACCACTTTAGCTCATTGTAACTATTGTAGTTAGTCACACAGTTGCATATTTAGACTGGATTTGGCATTTTTATCCACCTATTAAGTCCTTTCCGAGGGCCTGGGATAGGTAGATATTGTGTGATGGTGTGAAGGTCCCAAATAAAACTGTTTTTTGTAATTGATTGATGGTGTTCAAGTGATGCTATACATGTTTTGAGATTGGCTATCACTATTGCTACTATTTTTGCTTTCTTTTACAACATATTATTTTGAAAAAAAAAATGAAATCAAAGCTGAATGGTGGGATTATCATTGAAGCAATCTATACCTGGGCAATCCGTTATTCTATATACAGCAAGAATAACTGATTGAACCCAGATGGAATTTGATAACTTGGATTGGAAGCCAAAAGAAAATGACAATGCACAAACCTTGTACCCCAAAAGTGACATTGATCAAATGTATCTGGCAAGAGTTGAGGAGTATAGAATTCCTACAAGTGAAGCAAACTGGAGAAAGAAAAGTATGGCCTGAATGACTACATTAAGAAAAGCCAGAAAGCCTTACTGAAGGAAGTCAGTCAAGGAAAGCTCTCGAAAACAACAAAGATGAAGACTGAATACAGAAAAGAAACAATTGAAAACCAATTTGTTAATTGGAAGAACAAGGCAATACATGGGCAATACTTGAAGAAAATAGATTCAAAAGTCTATATGGAGTGGGTTAAAATCAAGACTGTTAAAGAAAGAAACTGAAGGCTTTATTTTAGAGGCTCAAGAACAAACTTTATCAACTAACTGCATTATGGCGAAAATACAACATGCAACAAACAATGGCAAATGTCACCTTTGTAGCAAAACATATGAAATAACTGACCTTTTAATCAGTGGCTGCAGCAGGAGCAAAATTTTACAAATTACAAGCAGTGTCATGACTGAATTGCCAGAGGTTTGGATTTAAATGTAGTAAAAACTACTGGTACCATCAAACTTGAGAAGGTTTTGAAAACTGAGCAGCTCAAGTTATTATGGGACGGTAAGATCCAAACAGAGAGGAATTCTAAGAATAAATGGCAGTAGAAATTCTGAACATAGAAAACCAAACAAAAATGAAACAATCCAATGGAAAGATCTATGGTAAACCCCAATAGACTATAACGAAAAGGCTGGATGGATAAAAGAATCTGAAGATGAATTTAGTAAAAGAAAATTGAAAGAACTAATAATTACAACAGAAATGATTAAAAATTAAGAACTGGACATCTCTTGGAAATTATCAATTGCATGGCTTTTGGCTCAAATATCTAAGTAACTTAGATCCAATTATAGCTAAATATATTAATGAAATATTGCACAAAGGAGACATCAGCAATTCTGGCAAAACATACCCAATTCAAAAATACCCAGCAAAAGGGACATTAGTAAACTATACGACAAAAATATGCTATCCTACAATGTTTAATCACCGGCCTAGTAGTGGACAATATTCAAGATTATTTAGAAGAAAATAACATCCTTCCAATAAAACAAAAGGAAATAAAAGGAAAAGCAGAGGTACAGAAGATCAACTTCTAATTGGTAAAATGGTTTTGAAGAATTACAAAAAGGTGAAAACGAATTTACATGTGGTCTGGATTTATTATAAAAAAGACCATTTGATTCATTACCACATAGATGAATTATCAAATGTTTGCAAATAATAAAGCCATTAGAATGCTTATAGAAAAAATAATGAAGTAGTGGAAGACAGAATTGTTGGTTGGAAATGAAATATGTGGGCTTGTGTACATTAGGAGAGACATCTTTGAGGGTGACTTAGTATCATCTTTAGTATTTGTCATTGCTACAATATTTGAAGAAAATATTGGATATCATATTACAAAAATGCTAACAAAACCTCACATTTGGTTTATATGGATGATTTGAAACTTTATGGAAAATCAGAAATCAAAATCCAGTCACTGATAAATACAGGTGAAACTCGAAAAATTAGAATATCATGCAAAAGTTCATTTATTTCAGTAATGCAACTTAAAAGGTGAAACTAATATATGAGATAGACTACATGCAAAACAAGATAGGGCAAGCCATGATGCGTCATAATTGAGATGATTGTCTTACAGCTCATGAAAACCCCAAATCCACAATCTCAGAAAATTAGAATATTGTGAAAAGGTTCAATATTCTAGGCTCAAAGTGTCCCACTCTAATCCGCTACTTAAGCCATAACACCTGCAAAGGGTTCCCGAGCCTTTAAATAGTCTCTCAATCTGGTTCAGTAGGAATCATAATCATGGGAAAGACTGCTGACCCGACAGTTGTGCAGAAAACCATCATTGACACCCTCCATAAGGAGGGAAAGCCTCAAAAGGTAATTGCAAAAGAAGTTGGATGTTCCCAAAGTGCTGTATCAAAGCACATGAATAGAAAGTTATATGGAAAGGAAAAGTGTGGAAGAGAAAGGTGCACAAGCATCAGGGATGACCACATCCTGGGGAGGATTGTCAGGAAAAGGCCATTCAAAAGTGTTGGGGACTTTCACAAGGAGTGGACTGAGGCTGGAGTCAGTGCATCAAGTGCCACCTCACACAGACGGATCCTGGACATGAGCTTCAAATGTCGTATTCCTCTTTTCAAACCGCTCCTGAACAACGAACGTCAGAAGCGTCTTACCTGGGCTAAAGAAAAACAGAAGTGATCTGTTGCTCAGTGGTCCAAAGTCCTCTTTTCTGATGAGAGCAACTTTTGCATCTCATTTGGAAACCAAGGACCCAGAGTCTGGAGGAAGAATGGAGAGGCCCACACTGCAAGATGCTTGAAGTCCAGTGTGAAGTTTCCACAGTCTGTGTTGATTTGGGGAGCCATGTCATCTGCTGGTGTTAGTCCACTGTGCTTCATTAAGTCCAGGGTCAATGTAGCCGACTACCAGGAGATTTTGGAGCGCTTCATGCTTCCTTCCGCAGACGAGCTTTATGGGGATGGTGACTTCATTTTCCAGCAGGACTTGGCACCTGCCCACACTGCCAAAAGCACCAAAACCTGGTTCAATGACCATGGGATTATTGTGCTTGATTGGCCAGCAAACTCGCCTGATCTGAACCCCATAGAGACTCTATGGGGCATTGCCAAGAGAAAGATGAGAAACATGAGACCGAACAATGCAGAAGAGCTGAAGGCTGCTATTGAAGCATCCTGGTCTTCCATAAGACCTCAGCAGTGCCACAGGCTGATAGCTTCCATGCCACACCGCATTGAGGCAGTAATTGCTGCAAAAGGGGCCCAAATCAAGTACTGAGTACATATGTATGCTTATACTTTTCAGAGGTCCGATATTGTTCTATGTACAATCCTTGTTTTATTGATTGCATGTAATATTCTAATTTTCGGAGATTGTGGATTTGGGGTTTTCATGAGCTGTAAGCCATCATCATCACAATTATGACAAATCATGGCTTGAACTATCTTGCTTTGCATGTAATGAGTCTATCTCATATATTAGTTTCACCTTTTAAGTTGCATTACTGAAATAAATGAACTTTTGCACGATATTCTAATTTTTTGAGTTTCACCTGTATGAGTAGTCTTCAACCTACAACCATTTGTTTAGTGACCAAAGTTACAATTGCAGTGAAAAAAGTGACTTATGACCATTTTTCACAGCATCCCTAAGATCATGTGATCAAAATTTCAATGCTTGGCAACTGGCTCATATTTACTTATTAAATAAATGATTCATAAACAAATAACTAGCTTATATTTATGACAGTTGCAGTGTCTAGAGATCATGTGATCACAGTTTACAATCTTCCAACAAACACAGTCAAAGGGGAAGCCAGATTCACTTAACAATCATGTTACTAACTTAACAACTGCAATGATTCACTTAAAAATTGTGGCAAGAAGGGTCATAAAATGGGGCAAAACTCACTTGACAACTGTCTTGCTTAACAAAAGAAATGTTGCACTCAATTGTGATTATAAGGCACGGTCTACCTGTAGGGTAAGAATATTCAGCACAAAATATAGCAATGAGATTTGGCCTAGAGATATGTGCTACAATAGCAATAAATTGGGATAAAAACACGAACAGTAATGGAACTGAAACACATAAAATGAATACTCCAGCCATCAGGAGCCATCAGAATGAAACCTACAATTATCTGAGCATTTTACAGTTGGATAATATCAAAGATGGGACAAGTTAACAATGTGATAAGTAAAGAATATATCCAAAGTCTGAGAAAAGTACTAAAGAAAACACTGAACAGTGGGAATACCATCAAAGCCACCAATAAATGGTCCATACCTATGATACACTGCTTGAATTATTAACTGGACACAAGTTGAACTGAACAGCTTGGACTGAAAAGCAAGAAAGTTAATGACTATTCACTATGTATTACATCCCATAGTAATATTAATAGATTATATGTGCCATACAGAAATGGAAGCAGAGGTTTACTTCAAGTCAAATAAACTTTCAAAGAAAAAAACCATACCTTATATAAAAGATAGCAAACAAGCATCGAACCAAGTTCAAAATTGGAACTTATTGTATGTATAGGAAATAAAACAAGTATATTGAAATAATATACAATTATTTCAAACAGAATAGAATGCTGGCAAGGAAAAGCATTGCAGTACATGGTTAATTTCTACAAAAGATCAAGAGGGAAATGGAAAAAGATAAAATCTGGCAATGGCTTACAACTGGCACATTAAAATAAGAAACTGAAGGCTTGATTTTGGCTGCTCAAAAGCAACCTATTCAAACTAATGCAGTCAAGGCCAGAATTGAAATATCATCAAATGATTCGAAAGACAGACTGTGCAAGGAGGCAGAATGAACAGTAGATCATACACTCAGCTCATTAAGATCACACAAACTGATTATATACAACAACACAAGTCACCAAAATAGATGTTTCAAACTGAAACATCTGTAAAAAAATGATCTGCCAGTAATGAAAAATTGATGAAGCTTACAGCTGAAAAAATAGTAGAAAATGAATTTTGTGTCATTTCTGAATACAAACTGATAAAATCTTGGCTCATAACACACCAGAAATAACTGTGGTTGAAAAAAAGAAAGTGTGGATTAATGTGGCAATACTAGGGATATAGTAGGATAAAAGACAAAGAATTGGAGTATCAAGAGCTGAACTTGAACTGGAATGATTATGGCAAAAAACTGGCCTTGATTGTTATTTGCACACAAAAACTGGCCTTGATTGTTATTTGCACACAGGGCGACATACCAAAAAAATATTAGAAGGTATTTAGGAAACCTGTACATTAATACAATTTCCATCTGTCAAATACAAAAGGCCATACTGCTAATAAATTAGGACTAGATTCTTGGGTAGAACTTGACATGTATGAAGGCCAACACCAGCTAAAGAACTGGCAGGTGTGATTTCATATTATTGTGTGTAGTAATAATATAGGTACCTAATCTGAACCAATTTCAAGTGACCGACAGCTCTCAACCAGGAACTTCCCTAAGGCCCATATTCGAATACTCTCACCTCCTCCTGCTTAAAATGGCATACAGCTGTATTCCCAAAGCAACTTTAAATACTGCAGAATTATAAGGGTGATAAAAAGCCATCTTTCTTGATGCCCATGATTGGGAGCCGCTTGGCTTCCAATAAAATAAGAGGGCCTGGTCGTGAGCCTGCGGCTGCAGACTTTACCCACCCAAATATCTTATCCCGCCAATAAGAGCGCCCTGGTGTGTGTTGTTTCCATATGGCGGACACCCCACAGCCGTTTCCTCCCTTCGGCTCTGACAGGCGGTCTGTTTCCACGCATACAAAGAGGCATCTTTTCTGTCTCGGAGGAGGGGGGGGGGAGAGAAGGCCGCAGAGCAGCTCTATGGGGGAACAAAAGAGGAAGGAGTCCGCCTCCTGCTGCTCTCCGGTCCCTCGTCTGAGGGGAGGGGAAGGGGGGTGGCTACAAAAGCGGGCCAGGGACTGGTGGGGCACGAGCTTTCTCCAAGCCCGATTGAAAAAGAGGGCCGCTCTGGGTGGGGGCGGGGGGGGGGTTAGGACGGGGACAAAAAGAATCAGAAAGTGTGTTAAATCCACTCCTTCAGCATTGAAGGCCTCGTTCTGGTTTCCCTCAACCCCCACTTGGATAACCCGGCATCTCAGGAGAGCAGCCATAGGATGATGCCTCATGTCAGCGCCTCAGTTGCTGCCGCGGGCCCAAATCCCTGAGAGAAACCAGAAGCGGTCGCGGGGGGGGGGGGGGGGGGGGGGGGGGGGGGGAAAGCCGTCTTCCCGTCCACCTTCCCTCCCTCCATATTAAAAAAAAAAAACCACACACACCCCTTCTTCCTCTCATCCCGAAACCTCCTGGCTCGCACACCGCGAACCAGCCGGCCGAGGATGAAGGGGCTGAGGAAGAGCCTAGCACAACAAGGGATGCGCGGCCAGCTCCCCCGTCAGATACGATGCAAAGACAAGGCGGGAGAAGTGGCGGCGGCGGCGGCGACACAACTCCTCCTCCCTTTCTTATTCCCGGCCGTCGTCCCTCATTCACTCCCTCACTCACCCGTCCATCGCCGAACAGGACAAAGCGCTGGCGACCAGGGCAGGGAGCCGCGCAGCTAACGAGTAAAGAGAGGGAGCGAGAAAATGGCGGCCGGGCCCCAACGGAAAACACCGAAGGTTGCCGAGCTCTATTAGGTTCTGCTCCCCATCAAATCGGCGTTCTTTTGTTCTCAATGAGCATGCGCGCAGTTGGCTCGGGCATGCTCAGTCCACAAGACTGAGGGTTTGAGGGTTTTTTTGCCCTCAAAAGATTAGGAAGGTGTAAAGACAAGGGAAATGGAATGTGCATACCCGAGGGGAGGGTAAGGTGGTCCTCGGATTCTGTGTTTCGGTCATTATAATATTGAGGCAAAGGCATTTATTCAGGATCTTCTTCCGAATTATATTTATTTACATAGGAAGATGCTTTTCAGAGTAACTCATTTTGATCTGAGAAACCATTTCATACCTACACTGGGCCTTCTCCCCCCCCCCCCGCCTTTGGTGTAGTAAATACTGAGTAAATATCCACAAAATTTTGCTAGACTCCAACCACATCTTCAGTCAAAGATACAGTTTCTTATTTCTTATTTGATTAGCATTTTTGTGACCCAAGCCGGTGAAGGTTTTTGCATATTGCTCAGACTCTACTAAGTAAAAGTTTGGAAAATACAGGGAACACTGAATTTTTCAAACGTCCCTGAATTTGCCTTTTAAAAACACGAGAGTTCTTCTAAGGCATGAGATAATCATTGTGGTTGCATTTGTATATGCCTTCCCATATATCTCTTTAGAGGCATTTCAAACACAATTGTATATCAGTTACTCCAAAATTGAATATTTAATTTTATAAATATGTCCAAACCATTTCCACAACTTCTAGGGCAAATTTGAGTACCCAAATGGTAAAGAGGCTAGGAACAACATGATTAAGTCCTGTTTTCATTGTTTCTCCTAACCAGGGCTTTATTTTGGGGCTCATTATGCAAGATTATGCAAGATCATAATCAGCATGTGTGGAGGAGCGTAACTTGACATTTATTTACCATTCTGTAAATATTTACATGTTGCTACAGATAGTTCTTGATTTGCGACCACAATTGAACCCAAATTTTCCATTGCTGAGCAAGACAGTTCTTGAGTTTTGCCCAATAACTTGCCACAATTAAGTGAATCACTAGATGTTAAGTAAGTAACATAGTTCTTAAGTGAATCTGGCTTCCTCATTGATTTTGCTTGTCGGAATATCACATCATGTGACCACATGATCCTGGTATGAGTACATACCAGTTGCCAAAGCAGAATTTTGATTACATGACTAAAGTGATGCTGCAATGGCTGTGTGGGGAAAAAAACAGTCATATTCAGGGCTGTTGTAACTTTGAATGGTCATTAAATGAATGGTTGCAAGTCAAGAGCTACCTATATTTGTATTTTAACGTGGATGCTTCAGGGAACCAACTTTCATTGGCTCTCTTTTTATTGATTCATCGTCACTTACTATTGGGGACCATAGGAAAGCAATGAGCTGCCTCTTGCAGTGAGCCATGGATTGCTTAATGGTAATTTACTTTGACAGCACAATTGGCTGGAGTGATCCAATATCCTGAACTATAGACAACAACTAAGTTTATGCATCATACTTAAGCCAAAAGTAAATAGACCACATTGTGGCTAACAATATACACCCAAGCACTTTGTGACCTAGCTCCATAAGTCATGCAAGATTATATAAACAAACCAGAAAACCTTTGTGCAAACATAGTATACAAACCAGTAAGGTAGAAGTCTACCATATTATCTGTACCTGGTCACTTTGTTAGAGGTTGTATTGATATGGTTTATGTGCACAACATCTTCAGGATTCTTTTCATAGTTCACAATTTATAGCTGGGTTCACACATTCCGCTAAGTAATATTTGTTCAATGAGACAGAATAGTGTCTAACTCATAATGGCTAAACTAATATATTAATACAAAATAAACCACATTATAACTTTAGTACTTAGTTCCAGTCATAGATGCATGCTGTATATTGGCAAATAAAAATGACAAAATAATGGAGACAAAAGTGATATGTGCCACCATAGAAGTGTGCAGTGCACGTTACTGAGTCCTTTCAGAATGTGGGAAAAGATGTTGATACAGAAAGAAAAACAAGTAAAAATACAAAGGAATCTACTAAGAAAAGAGGTTGCTAATTTTGTAGATTTTTTTTTTCCCACCACTATTTTTATAAATAACTCAATGTGGCAAACATCTAATAAGCTTCCTATTTTCCTCACAACAACCCTGTGAGGTATGTTGGATTGAGAGAGAGTGATTGATCCAGGGTCACCCAGCTGGTAGACCAAGCTGGCTTAATATGTAGTTCATATGCAGTGAAATTAGCTTTGCTAATATTTCAACATATTTTGGTTGGTAATCTTATGCTTACCTTATGAATACAGATATAACATTTCCAGGAATTTGGAAGCCATGAAGAAAAACATTATTTGGGAGGGAAACTGGATTTCAAAGGGAAAATGCAATATACACATTTTTTTAGTATCATTCACGAATACATAATTACTATGCTTTCTAATTAGTACATTTCAAATTCTTTGACCTTATTTTATCATTTGCATTATGTGTCTGAAAAACCAAAGGTCTGCAATCTATTGAAGCAACTTTCTTTATTCTTTCACGTTTATTTGATTTAGAATGAATATTTTCAAATATAGGCCAATTTCTTTCAGCTGTTACGTTTTAAAAAGAAACTACTAGGAAATATCCATTTTTCCCCAGGTGCTCAGAGAAAGCAAAAAATATCAGAAAAAGGATTTTGCTGCTTTTTAAAAAAAACTTCTTTAGGCCTTCACATTTCTAGCCACGAATAAGTTTCCCTGTGCTAAATGGCATTTCTGAGTAAAGATTACCTAAAAAAAATTTTTAGAATAGAGAAAAAAGAATTACCATGTAGAAATAATTATTACTACTCTCCCCCCCCCTTTCTATATTCAGATGTTCTGATTGCTATTCAGTTTGAATCTCTGGCCTCCTGCAGCTTTTAGAATTAACACTGTCCCAGGAACGGCTGCCAAAGAAGACAGCTTGGATTTTCTTTATCCAGCAGATGTTGATGTCCCTTGCAATTTTTTCTGGTCCTGATGGCATATGCAAAAGGCATTGGGAAAGAATAGGTATTAGATTGAAATGCTGCCAAGAAAACTGCATGGATATATCCATGTAACCGTTAGGAGTCAACTCTACTGAAGGAAGTTTTTTACCTTTTAAATAGGAAATGAAAAATTAATTCAGAATTCGTGTTTTTTAAGGGTAAATTCGTGTTTTTTAAGGGTAACTAAAAAAAAAAGAGCTGGATTCATACCTTGACAAAGCTACAATTTGCTATATTTTGTAGATTCAACAAGGGATTGGCTTCTCATCACACGTAGTTAAATGAGAATAAACCAGAAGTGACTTTATTTGCCCAGCCTATTAAGTCACAAGGCACAATAATTGAGTTCATACACCAAACCAAAAATAAACTGCATTATGGCTTAGCGAGAAGTGTGAATCCAGCTAATAGCTGTTGAAATTGCTTCATGTTTGACAACTAAAGCTCTGCCTGATTCCTTACTTTGAAATACAATCCTGTCAATTCCTCTGCCCATGTGGGCATGACGGATACTTTTACTCATTGAAATGATTCATTGGTGATCACGGGAAGAAATACTGACCTAGTGAAAAGAAGCCAGATTGGAGGGAAAAGTGTGTGTGAAGAAAGTTGTAACAAGCATGTGCTCAGCTGGTTTATGGGTTATGCAAAGCCCAATGAAGGTATTTGCATCACACACTTAACCAGGGAAAAATTACTTACCAAGAGATCTGGAACCAGATCACCTAGCAAAATGGAGGCCAATCTGTTTTTTAGAGTGTAGCCACTGTGATTAACAACCCACCAGCTTTGCAGAGCTTGCCTGGCTGTGTCTGTTTTTTAAAAAAGAACAGTTTGAACTGTTTTTTTAAAAAAATACTGGTTTTTTAAAAAAAAACAGTGGCCCAAACTGTGGTGACAGGAAAGAGGTGAAGTCACCATTGTCCAACATAGAGATTCAGCATTGATTATAAAATAGGACAGAAAAAGAGCATGTCTGATTAAATCCAGACTCCCATCTTTATCTAGAAATTGGAAGGGTAGATTTATTTCATACAACAAATTATAAATTTTGTCCTGGTTATAAGGAAAACAAAATGTCCACTTTCTGCTGCAGGGATGTCAAACTTGCAGCCCGCAGGCCAGATGCATCATGCGCTGGCCACCCTCACCCCCAGTTTAGCGAAAGGGAGGAAATCATGATACGTCATGTGCCAACACGTGTTTGACACCCCTTATCTACTGGAACTCAGCTTTGGACTCTGTGGTTAAAACAATAACCCTGCGTGCTGCATTATTGAATGTAATAGCTATGTAATTGGTTGATTAACTATGTAGTACTGACAGGATTGAAAGTAAGGGGCCATCCCCATATGGGCTGAGAATTGAGAACTATTCTCTTTTTCTTGGTTTAGTTTATTTAGCTTTCTAACAATGCAAATAGGAATTTCTTCTAGCTGCATAAAAGGTATGAAGTATTGTTGGAAGAAAAATCTGATCTGGTTCTAAGCCGGGAGAAGGGGTGCTGGAAATAAAATGGAGGCTATTTGGGAAGAAGGACTCTGTTTATTGATGAGCAGAACCAACAACAGCATGTAGTTCTGGGACAGCTGAAAAATTGATTTGATGAGGATATGGATTTTTATAGGGTTCTGGGATGCTCCTAGGGGGTTGTGCAATGTAGTGAGCCTGGTGTCTTTTGCTATTCTAATGGTGATGCGTTAATCATATTATGTCCTAAAGGTCATGTCCTGTTCTTATAATTTGGGTGGGGTGTGTGTGTAAATTTTAATCCCATCAGATGGAGCTGAGGGTGTTTTGTTTGTGAATAGGCTGGCATGGATTTCTTAATGGGCCCAAAATATCCATCTCTAAAGACTTCAGGCATCTGCTGGAGGCTGTTGGAGCTGCTTTCTGCCTTTGTTAAGATTTTTCTTTTTCTCCTTTGGGGAAATATAATATTCTGCCTCTTTCAATATTCCCCAAAATATTTCATTTGAGGGGGTGCTTCCTACAGTATGACTTCTATATATATATTTACTAGGTAA